ATAGAGTTAAACTCAATTTGTATGTTAGGAAATTTATTTAGAAATTTTAGGAATAAATTTAGGAAAGTGATTTACAGTTAGCTCAACATGGTTCAACGAACTAGGACGAACTAGTGTTGAGAGGTAGTGTTAAAATATCATCACTAGCCCAATAGAGTTAAACTCAATTGGTATGTTAGGAAATTGATTTAGAATTTTAGGAAAGTGATTTAGGAATTTTAGGAATAAATTAGTAAAATGATTTAGATACTTTAGAAAAAACGTTAGAAATTTTAGGAATAAATTGTCTATCGAGTACAAATACTCCTCCACCCTACTTAGTTCATCATCCCAATAAATCTTAAGCCATATGAAGTAGTAGTATTATACAAAGTGTCTTGTATTCTCTTCTCGATTGGTGTTAATAAAGAGTGTAAATGTTTTCCATAGAATTGTGTTCAACAATGATATGTGTTATAACCATGAGATTTATACTAGAATTGTGTTGTTTATGGTATATGTATGTAAATTATGTCATGATTATGAGATGTCAGTCTTAATGTTAGATTACGAAAACATCCTAGCCATAAGAGAAATGATAATATTCCAAGAGGAAATTGTTATAAAAATTATATTCTGAGTTGAATTGTACCTTCCTATTTGATAGGACCTCATGCATATGTATGTCCACTTGAAATAAATTTTACAAATCGTGGTGATATGCCTATTAGGGAGGGCGATGATAAGCTCCACGATATTTTTGTCACTATATTATCATAACTATGATTCACAAACTCACAAGAAATAAATTTTACAAATCGTGTTGATATGCTTATTAGGGAGAGCGATGATATGCTCCCCGATATTTTCGTCACTATATTATCACAACTATGATTCACAAACTCGACGATCTGCTCAACTTTATTTTAAGTGGCAATATTGTCAGGATCTAATGATATGACAATAGAGGAAAGTTTGAAAATGCAGCAATGATAACTAATATAGAGATAATCCCTACTAATGTTATTCATTTAATAGATAATAGGGAAAGAACAATCATAGCAAATGCACACCCAACTATGGAAGAGCTAAATTCGTGCAGACCCGGAATGCAAGCTACTACTTTTAAACTAAAGCTTGTGATGTTTCAAATGCTGCAAACCATTGGGAAATTTCATGGACTACCGTCAAAAGATTCCCACATACATCTAAAATCATTTTATGGAGTTAGTGACTCATTCAAATTTCAAGGAGTGGAAAAAGACGTGACTAGACCGAGCTTATTCCCTTATTAGCTTTGTTGACTAATATTCTATAGGCTCTAGCACTGGGACAAGACTCAATGACTAAAACATCAATCCAAGCAACAACTGTCATAACTCAATGAACAATTGAATCTTGTGTATATTTGTGGAGAAAAATATAGTTTTGGCCTTTGTCCAATTAATCCAACTTTTGTTTTTTTAGGTGGGAAATCAAGTTAGTCAAGGAAAGAAGAAAAGAACCCATTCTCAAACACTTATAACCTAGGATGGAGAAACCATCCAAACTTCTCATAGACCGAACAAAAATTGTACCGTCAATAAATGTCACGTAAGGCAAATTATCTTCTATATTTTGGACTACAAAATTAAATGACATATGGTCATCAACAAGCCAATACCAAAGGAAAAGAAACTAGCCAAGCTTTAGCACATAAAAGGGTCATCTCTTGAGAGTTTAATGAAGGAATATATGGCCAAGAACGATGTTGTAATGCATAGTCAACAAGCATCTTTACGAAATATGGAAGTTCAATTAGGTCAATTAACTATCAAGTTAAGAAATAGACCTCTTTGAAAACTACCCGCAGATACCAAAATGTCAAAAAGAGAGGGTAAGAAACAATGTCAAGAAATATAATTGAGAAATGTGAAAAAAAATCCCAACATGGGAGGTGAAATTAAACAAAATAGCAACAGTCACTCCCAAGAAACAGCTGATATACAATCTAGAGAGGAGAAAAATGTTCGATAGAAGTAGAGGAAAAATTATGCAGAAGTAGAAAAATCTTTGAAAACGTAAGTATCATACAGTAGTTGAGAAGTGAGCAGAGTGTATACCCCAACACCTCATTTCCAACTGGAGAGTGTAGTGAAATATTAAAAAAACAAAATCTCTTTAAATGAGAAAGTCCCTTGCTCATTCACAATTCCTATATGAATGGGAGGGAAGGAGCTAGGCCGAACATTATGTGATTTGGGATCAAGCATTAATCTAATGTCTCTATCTATTTACAAAAAGTTAGGTATTGGTGGGCTAGATAAACTACAACCACCCTTCAACTAGAAGATCAATCTTTCACTCATCTCGAAGGTAAGATTGAAGATATCTTAATTCAAGTGTACAAGTTCATATTTCCAGCAGATTTTGTCATTTTGGATTATGGAGTGAACCATGGTATACCAATTATCTTGGGGAGACCATTGGTAGATGTTTAGGAACTATAATGTTGAAAATGAATGATCAATAAATAGAATTCAATGATAATAACCAACCTTAACCATTTTTCCAACCAGAAAAAAATAACCCAGAGCTTTCACATGTCAAACTACTTACAAGAATGACTTCACACCCACATCAATGTTCACGGAGGCCAATGACTAGTTTAAGTTTGAGAGTATGTATGAAAAAAATAAATAAAAATTCAAACTTGAGACCATCTATCTTAAACCTAAAGCTTAATTCTCAATGCTATAAAAGAAAGCAAACAAGTTGCCCCAATTGCTGCATCATAAATGGAGGTGTCTGAAACAAAGGTAACAAGGATGAAAAAAGAGAAGTTATCCTTATTGTTCAGATAAGTTGCATTTATATGAGGTCATATTGAAAACTTTAGGATGCCAAGAAAAGAGTCAAGCTAAGATAGGATTAAGACCGAGTTTCATGGTACCAACTCTTGTTGGAGCGAAGTCTAGAGCGTTTGGTAACCAAAGATAGCAAGACAAGGATATTACCATTTGGTTTCACTCTTTTTAGCTCATTTTAAAGAAGAGTTGTTCATATGATCCGATAACCAAACAACTCTGACTATTCAATTGGCTGAATTATAAGAATTGGTAAGGTTTGATTTTTATTTTTGGGTTTGGATTATTTTGAATTTTTGAAAAACTAAAAATTTGAGTTGGTTCATGGATTAGAACTTTTTTCGTTGGGTTAACCTACAAACCCAAAAATATGGTTTGTTAGACGAACACGACTCTCCACAATGGTATGATATTGTCCACTTTGAGCATAAGCTCTCATGGCTTTGCTTTGGGCTTTCCACTTTGAGCATAAGCTCTCATGGCTTTGCTTTGGGCTTCCCAAAAGGCCTCATACCAATGAAGTCAGTATTCCTCACTTATAAACCCATGATCATTCCCTAAATTAGCCGATGTGGGACTTTCATCATCCAACACCTCCCCTCGAACAAAGCACGCCTCCCCTTAATCGAGGCTTGACTCCTTTGGAGTCTTAGTCATTTTTGACTGCCTTCGTACCTTCAAGGAGGCTTGGCTCCTTTTTGGAGTCCTTTGTTCGACATTCGAGGATTTGTCAATCTATTGGCATGGCTAAGTTTAGGGCATGGCTCTGATACCATGTTAGACGAACACGACTTTCCACAATGGTATGATATTGTCCACTTTGAGCATAAGCTCTCATGGCTTTGCTTTGGGCTTCCCAAAAGGCCTCATACCAATGGAGTTAGTATTCCTCACTTATAAACCCATGATCATTCCCTAAATTAGCCGATGTGGGACTTTCATCATCCAACACCTCCCCTCGAACAAAGCACGCCTCCCCTTAATCGAGGCTTGACTCCTTTGGAGTCTTAGTCATTTTTGACTACCTTCGTACCTTCAAGGAGGCTTGGCTCCTTTTTGGAGTCCTTTGTTCGACATTCGAGGATTTGTCACCTTCGTACCTTCAAGGAGGCTTGGCTCCTTTTTGGAGTCCTTTGTTCGACATTCGAGGATTTGTCAATCTATTGGCATGGCTAAGTTTAGGGCATGGCTCTGATACCATGTTAGACGAACACGACTTTCCACAATGGTATGATATTGTCCACTTTGAGCATAAGCTCTCATGGCTTTGCTTTGGGCTTCCCAAAAGGCCTCATACCAATGGAGTTAGTATTCCTCACTTATAAACCCATGATCATTCCCTAAATTAGCCGATGTGGGACTTTCATCATCCAACACCTCCCCTCGAACAAAGCACGCCTCCCCTTAATCGAGGCTTGACTCCTTTGGAGTCTTAGTCATTTTTGACTGCCTTCGTACCTTCAAGGAGGCTTGGCTCCTTTTTGGAGTCCTTTGTTCGACATTCGAGGATTTGTCAATCTATTGGCATGGCTAAGTTTAGGGCATGGCTCTGATACCATGTTAGACGAACACGACTCTCCACAATGGTATGATATTGTCCACTTTGAGCATAAGCTCTCATGGCTTTGCTTTGGGCTTCCCAAAAGGCCTCATACCAATGGAGTTAGTATTCCTCACTTATAAACCCATGATCATTCCCTAAATTAGCCGATGTGGGACTTTCATCATCCAACATGGTTCACAATTCAATCCTACCGTTCTTCCAATATTTTTATGCAAATTAAGAATATTTGACATGTGACCGATGTTATTGATACATTTGTAAATATTTGATTTTGAATTTGATAAGATTTTAGTTATTAATTTAAAATGTATGGGCTACCCGTAGATTTTTTTTAAAATAATCAAAAAAGAATAAACAACCCAACTATCCAACCCAACTCGAAAATAGAGAATTGAGTTAGGTTGTGAATCGTAGTCAGGTTATTCTAGTCACCTTCCTAACTAACTCAAAATTTTGGACGGGTCAAAAAAAAAATTTAATCCAATCCATCCCATGTACACCCCTATTGAAACCCATTGTAAATTTTCAAACTACTTGGTTCCTCATCTTCTCATCTCACCCGTTTTCAAGTCAAAACATACTTTTAATTATAATTCAATCATTATAAGTTCTTGATTTCATATACTTTTTAAACCTCCACGGTCGACATTTACACATTTGAACTTCTGACTTTAAAGAAAAAAAGTATGTGCTAATTATTAAGGTAGACAGGTACTAATGTGTATATTCCGAGTTCATCTTTCGAAGTACCGAAAGAAATGGGAGAAGCTGTTTTCAAACCCTTACCTCTTAGCCGATCATATATATGCAGATAGATGTAGTTCGGAACCTTGATAGCAATTGCTGGACATGTTGCTGCCTTTGCCATCATCAGCCATTGAAGCTATAGGTTCTGCCGTCTTCTTCTTGCTTATGAAACGGCCTCTGCAGCCCCTTTCCCTTCTCATGGCATGTAGGTGTCTCGACTCGTGAAGATAGGGCTGTGATACTCGCATGTATTAGTTACACAACAAAAGATAAGTTCGAGATTTATATATATAATTGGGAAGCTGTGAGTTGGTTGATTGATTACCTTTTTTTGTGATCTAGATATCTTGTTTAAGATCTCGGCCTTGGCTCGGGATTGTCGTCGACGTAGTATTCCATGGTACTGTTTAGCATTCACGTAAACAGGTTCTTCAACCGTTGCTAGAGGCAAAGTCATTCTAGTATATTCTGAATTATGCTGTGTAACAACCAAACTTTAGGCTTTCATAGCATTAAAATATCAAATTCAGCTATGAAATGGATCATGGGGCCGTAAAATAAGTGGTTTGGGTTGGTTTTGACCTTCGATCGAAGCACACCAAAATGAATAGCCAAAACAAAAAGAATAAAACGTAAATCCTACGGCTATCTAAAGAGGGGAAAACACTAACAATTCTTCGCTTAAATATGTTGTTAATAATTTCTCATACAAATGTTCCACTACTAATAACTTTTTCTACCAATGCTCAACCGTTAATAATTTCTCATAACAAAAAATGTTACAATTAAAAACTTCTCTTAGAAATGTTTTACGATTAATAATATCTGCTATCAATATTCCATGATTAATAATCCGAGTAAAGACCGAAAAATTATGTATAAGTCAAGTTTATTGACTCACCGTTTATATACATATAAATAATCGAATTTTCTCAATATAGGAACGAAGAGAAAACGAAAACATTATCAGATACTCGTACCAATGTTTGGAATCCAAATAGAGGCATCAGTTGTCCATAGTAAACGTCTTTGTATCGGTAGGATGTAGGTATTGTCTGTTATAAATGGAAACGGTTAGTTTTTTATTTTTAGAGATAGAGAGGACTATTGAAAGGGTAACAACCTCATAAGTAGAAGCCTGATAGTGTTCATTATTCATCAATGGAAGAACAATGGATGCATCTTTACTCTGACGTGCTACTATTGATTCTCCATCTGCTCATATCAAAATTTATCAAGAAAACTCGAATCTGTCTCTACTTCCTATTTCATTCTTTATTGTTTGAGGATATAATATAAGGGGAAAATATAATATAATATACTAAGGAAATATATATAAAAGCTTCAAGTCTACCGGTCTGTTAGAATGCTTTAGTTGCATACATCATTGTATTTCCATTTGACACCTATCGTAATGATAAACAACTCATATATATATATAATGAAAGTGAGAGGATGTAGGATCGAGCAAGGATGGAGACGGGGTTGAGGCTGAGATCAAGGACAAATAATGTAATCCCCATCTCGACCCTGTTTAGCTAATGGTGAAAAATTCTGTTCTTAATCCCTCTTTCATTTCATTCCCAATTTAAAGAAAGATTCTCCGCCCCTGTTTGAGTCAAGTTCCTACAGAGCCTCAGTCTTACGGATTAAACGAACATCTCTATTATAACATTAGGTGATAGGTAAGGTCTCAAATCTCCCCTTCCATTACTCATTATCATGGGTATTAACTATAAAGTAAAATGAACTTTAATAGATAGATAACAAGATTGAATTTGTAAAATATCATGAACAAAACTAAAAAAGAAAAAAATAAACAGTATAAACTTGATGAAATCATCAAGTAAAACATGTATTTAAACCTTACATGGAGGTGGAGTCATAGTTTCTTGCACTTCCTTGGTGCTTGTATTGGGCTGTGGCCCATTGTCAACCAACCCGTTAGGTTCGTTAGGCCGAGCCCAATTTACTTTGTCTTCTTTTGAGATGGCGAAAGTTGTGGGAGCATCTAGCCACCACAAAGGTCGAGAATTGTAACCATCGGGACCGTTTCTATAATCTATTTTAGAGCTCATCATTTGAAGTCTCCTATGAAGAACCAAATGAAAAAACAAAAAAAAAAGACATCAAAATTTTAAAAATAAATGTTTAAATATTAGTTTGTATCATCCTTTTGACTTTTAACATGTTTAATTAATTGATGCTTAAGGTTTAATATTATTTATCCTTCTAATTTATTTTTCTCAAATGATAATATTATTTATAGCAAAAACATTAGGTTATATATAGATCCATATTAATCCATGCATGCACACATACATACATACAATTTTCTTTTCTTTTTCTAGAACTACAAACCAAATAAGAATCAAAAGCAAGCAAGCAAATCAAATCAAAGCAATAATGATAAGATCAGTGTTTGGAAGCCAAGAAAATGGAGAGATTATGAAAAAGAAAGTGAATTTTGTAAACCCAACTGATACCCATTTACCAAATACACTTAAAAGAGAGAAATAGAGAGAGAGAGAGAGAGAGAGAGAGAGAGAAAGAGAGAACTCACAGTGTAGAGAGAGAGGAGTGTTTGGGAGGTGAGAAAATTCTGGATTTCCAAGGAATGATATCGTTTATATGAGAGAGATAGGAGTGTTTGGGAGGTGAGAAAATTCTAGATTTGAAGGAAAGAAAATTTTCTTGGGAGAGAGAGAGATTGAAATTGTATATATGTGAAAGAGAGAGGGATTAATAGTGAAGGAGACGTCTTAATCTTGCTCCCCATTTAATCTTTTTTTAGGTCTATTATTGAAAGTTCAGGTAAAAATACTATTTTAGCCTTATACATTTAATCTTAAAAGTTATCGGGTCCATGGTAAACATTGGATAGCGAAGCACAAAGTAAACCCACCTCCAGATGAGACAGAGAGCCTTCGATAGGACAGCCGAGACAGAGATGAAAGCTATCATGCATGAGTATAACGTTTAAGCTAATTTTGAGAAAGCTTTTAACAAAATTGTTGTTTGATTGTCAATCGAAGCACAACAAATAATCGAAATAGAAAAAACAGATAGCAATAGAGAGATTTTCTTTACTAGTACTTCAATTACAATGCTTCTCGAGGAGACTCACATTGCCTAATTAAGAATTAACCGGAAGATCATAGGTTTATAAATAAGAGTGACACTCAATGTAAACAATATCATACCATTGTGAAGATCGTTTGATAATCAATCCCTACAAACGAAATAAGATTTAGATTACCTTGTTGATCAAACATCTCAAGGCAAGAACATTTTATTGATATTCAAATCACTCTACAAACAAGATCAAATTATTTTCATGATCAAATATCTTAAGACACGAACACATGCCTTTGGGATGTGACACTCGCGTAAAGGAATGTTGCACGAATAAACTAAGATCACATATAAATAAGAGTGATTCTGAGAATAGTATGATTAAGAAAGATTCACAATATACCAATAAGGTGCACTTTTCTTTTCGGTGACTCAGTCATAAAAAACTTCATAGTTAAGCGTGTTTTACTTAGAGCAATTGTATGTTAGATAATTTCTTAAAAATTTTCTTATAATACATGTAAGTGAGGACAAAATATGTTAGAATAACTCTTGTTAGTTTGTAGGGATAGTCTTTATTCTTAGATGCAATGAGTATGTAACGTGACCATGTCGTAGAGTTAATATTGGGCCTATCAGATACCGAATTCGGATTCTGAATCCTAAACATGGATTGTTGCACCGAAATTCTTCGTTGTTTTATTTTTTTCAAAAGTTCGATTCTTAAAAACATTGCAAGAAGATGTAAACGACCCGACTTTCGAAACATGATTTGACCTTTATTACATAAATGTTATAAATGTTTTTTCTCAAGTGTCCTTGTTCTTATCTCTTTTCTTTTTCTTTTTAATGACACTTTTAGTGTCTAAAAAATCATTGTTAAATTAATTGGCTCTCACCTCACTAAGAGATTCATTAATCAAGAACCCTTTCAAGAAAAACATGTAATTTCAAACCCAAAAAATATAAACACCAAGAACGTGAACGAGAATTTCACATTGATTCGAGAGAGGAACGAATGCCAGGGAGAATGTTGAGTACCGGGCAGTGTATCAGCGAGAATGTTGGGCCTCGAAAGAGAGTAGATTTTGAAATCTCACCTCGATTGGAGAGGGGAACGAAACATTTTTTATATAACAGTGTGAAAACCTCTATTTAGTAAACACGTTTTAAAAATTTTGAGAGGAAACTCGAAACGAAAAGTCTAAAGAGAACAATACAGTGGGCTTGGATCGTTACACATTGTGTGTCGATACATGCTCCCATTGTGATCTCGATGTTCCCGAGCCTCAAAATATCTTCATCGGCCATTCAAAAGTCTTCTCAAAACTCTCTAAAATCCACAAAAAAATGGTCATGATTAAACTATCGAAATTGTTAAAATAAATTGCAATGTCAGGAATGATTTGGAGGACAAAATTGTAATTTGAACAAAAAGAAACATGAGTAATTGGGACCCACCAACTCCACGTGGTCCTAAGTTATGAACTTTAACGGAGGAGAAGGCGCCGTCAGCGCAGGACTCCATAAAGGGTGTTATACACGTGTCCTAATCTTCAACAAGTGGGGCCCACTGAAGATCTAACTTCCAAAGGGCAAAATTATTGTAAGCTTTGGATGCCAACACTCATCCTCACCTTCCCTTCCACGTGGTGTCTTCTAGAAGCTTTGGAAAATCTCTTGAATATTCTTTTTTTTTTTTTTTATTATTTCACTTTTTCTTCGTAGGATTCAATAATTCCATTCAAGAATTAAAATAAATTTATGTCAATTTTCATACTTTTTTATATTTAAACTCTATAAAGTTTTAGTTATTAACGGAGTATGAATTATTGATAAATATATTTTTTTAAATAAGAAAAAAATAATCCGACAACCTAATCCAGTCTAACTTGAAACTTTAGTTGGGTTATGAACTTTACTTGAATTATTCGAGTCACCAACCCAACCAATCTATTGATCCAAAAAAGAGAGAGAAGTTTCTAAAGCTAGATTACATCAATTAAATCCAAACCATGTTTCCATTAGACCTATCTTCTCATATTTGATATCACTATGATTCGTTCTTGATATCACTATTTTCTTTTTCTTCTTTGATCTTATCTTTTCATATATAATATCACCACGATTTGTAACGACCTTAAATTTGTACATATTTAGAATCGTTACTAACGTCACATGCTCATCTCTAATGCGGAAATATAATTCTTAAAATGAACATCGTTTATAACATAAACCTCGACGATACAATTAAAATAGATGTAGCATTTGAAAAAAGAAGTCTTAGTCGAAGTCGAGTCCAATCAATTTCCGTATTTACCCATCTCATCCTTGTTGTTGTATTAAGGTTGGGTAGAGTGGTGCAAATAGAAGGTAGACGTGTGCCATAGTTATAATAATTTACCATTGAGGAAAAGAGCTTTGTTGCTACAAACCTAAAGAAAAGAAAAACAAAGGACTAAATGTTGAATCAATATTTGTCCCCACCCTAATAATAATGCTACAATTGCAATTATCAAGAAATTGGGGGTTCTTTTTGTAAAAAATAAAATTCTATTTAGATAAAATAGTTATGGTCTTACGTGTTTAAATACGAAATACTTAAATTTAGATAAAATAAAATAAAAAATACAAACTAATTTAAAACAATAAAACGCAAAAAAACTTATTCTAACTTAAGACTATGAATTTAAATATGAGTCTACCCTATGCACGTGCCATAGTCTCTGCTCGCGATGTCGCCATCCTCCATACAGGTGCGTCTTGCCTTGACCTGAAAAATGATGCGACACACTGTAATAGCGTCAAGCCCACTAGTAGTAGATATTGTTCTCTTTGGGTTCTCCCTTTCGGGCTTCCCCTCAAGGCTTTAAAACGTGTTTGCAAGGGAAAGGTTTCCACATCCTTATAAAGGGTATTTCGTTCTCCTCCCCAACCAATGTAGGACTCTCACACATGCGGCCTAAGTATTTCGAAGAATACTCAGTAAGTGGCCCCACTATAGGAGTCATGCCAATGCAAAAACATGCAATCATGATTTAGGGACCTATCTCTAACATTATAGGGGTGGCCTCCAGTCTTGGACAAATTGGATGTGTAGTACTTCCCTATACACGACTCACACCTACCAGTGTGAATCTCTAGGGCGCTCATACACCCCCTGGATCCTCTGATCAAGCTAATCTATAGCGGAAGGTTAGTATGACTACGAGTTAACTAGTTTAAATCATTAGGAGTAAGTTTAAATTATTTTATGCTTAAATTATTATGAGTAAGTCTAAAATATTTTATGCAAAACTAAGTGAGATGATTGTTGTTAAGGATATTTAGTGAGAATGTTTGTTTAATCCACCCCACCTAAATGGTGTGAAAGTTATCTATTTATAATCAAATAAATTATAAGGATATGGAAAGGGTAATAAATGGAAAAATACTTATGGTAAGAAGGCAAATATAGATATTTGCCTTATAATAAAATATCAAATATGATATATATGATAAACTATAACTTAGTACTAAATATTCTTAACACATCCCGCAAGTTGAGCGTCGGATTTGAACGAACGTGAAGCTTGGATCTGAAAAATTCAAAGAGAGGTCGAGAAACACTTTTCGTGAAGATGTCGAAAACCTGGTTTGGAGGAGGGGTAGATAAACACTTTCTTGGTCATCAAAAACTACAGAGGGATCGTCGCTCAGCGGCGATGCTGCCTTGGCTTCGACAAGAATATGTCTAACCCATGGAGAGGGATCGTTGCTCAGCAATGATGCTGCCTTGCCTCCAGTGAGAATATGTCTAACCCAAGAAGTAGGAGGGGAAACCTATAGCAAGAAACAAAGACAATGTTGAAGCCGGAAGAGTTGCCACAGTGGACGAAGGAGCCAATTTTGGCGAGAAGGACGATGGCGACTTGGTTGACGAAGAGGCCAATGCGGCGCCCAGATTCTAAAAATAAATCTCTGCAAAAGGTCGATGAGCTTATCGAGATTCCGTACATTTTTTAAGAGAACGCTGATGAGGATCCTGAGATTAGGGTTTCTGTGAAGGATGAAGGGAAGACTGGGAAGAAAATGAAAGAGGTTATGTTGGTTGAGGGAAAACCGATTTTGTTGGAAAAGGTGAGGTTGTATGTGAGTATGGAAAAGGGTGATTTGGAGGTCAAAAGGGTGGAGCCAAGGAGTAATCAATCGGCTCCACAAGTGGCAGCCATGGAGACAACCCCTGCGTCGTCAAAGCTAGCAGTGGTGGTGGAAAAAAACAATAAAGGATTCAAAAGCCATTAAAAAGAAAGGATCAGGGTTGCTAAACTGAATGATACTATTGAGAATGTTTGCTTAATCCACCCCACCTAAATGGTGTAAAAGTTATTTATTTATAATCAAATAAATTATAAGGAAATGAAAAGAACAATAAATGGAAAAATACTTGTGGTAAGAAGTCAAATATATATTTGTCTTATAATAAAATATCAAATATGATATATATGATTAACTATAATTTAGTACTAAACCTTAACGATTCTCATCGTAGAATTCTAACTTATGATTGTTGCAGAATTGAATTTCAGA